TGTTCTTTTTCTAAACATCCCATGTATATCATATCATACTCTACTAAGATACCTATACAATAGAATTAAATTTTTTCATACATAAATAATATCCAAGTTCAAATAGATAGACTTGGTTATCCAGCCCACGCATCTCGCAACCGCTCACTTTTCCTCTCCAACCCCCATGTGTGTCTCAATATAACAAACCATATAACTACAATAATTAACAAGGTAAGAAAGATATATGCTGATAATGATGACATTAAACTACTTGCTACAATAGGAATCGCTCCTATTCCTCCTATTGGAAGAGGCAAAGCCTCGAGACTAGGTCTCATCTGAGTATGCAATTCAATCAAAGAGGATATATTATTTTCTGGCTGTGCAAGGTAAGGAGTTACCTTTGGTATTTCTTGGAGTATATTGTTGTTATTACCATGTAATGGGTCCTCGACCCTAGTTTCACTAATATCGATTTCGTCACTTACCTTGGGAATAATCTTGGTATCTACTTTTGGAGATGAGGCATAGCCTTGAATTACTAATTCCTCAGATATAGAAGCACTTTTATCATCAGTGTGGTCCGGTATATCAGTATTAATTTTTCCAGCTCGATCCATACTTTTTTCACGTATAAAATATTGACTGAGATCTTTACTAGGTATGAAATTTTAAAGGGGTATGTCTTTTGATTCTTGCATTTAAAATTCAGAATACAAATATAATAAAAATGTTACAAAGAACTAACAAGAAAAATATAAATCTAGCATTCTGCAAAAATCTCAAGAGATGGTAGCCTTAATGGATCGATTTGCAATGACTCATGGACTTCGTATTCCAAGTAAAGTGTATCATAAAACATATAAAAAGTTCAGTATATGAAAATCCGGATTGAACCTTGGAGGTTCAGGTTTTTGCGTCGCGCGATTTTGATTGAGATAAATTTCAGGTAAGTGCTTCTGATATATGAGGTACATATTCGATAACCATTTTTGTGTTGCCCAATTTAGGTATTAATAAAAATGATACTTTAAGATATTGAAAAAAATGATACTCCAAAGTTTTCGATATAGTGACACTCCAAAGTTTTTGATATAGTGATACTCCAAAGTTCATTTTCTGATTATAAATAGCGTTCACGTTTTTTGATACATATTTGATATA